AATAAAAAGCTTCTATAAACCTGAGCCTGCACTATGATGTTTAAACATCTACACCTACTGAAAACATTTACTTAAAACTAAATTCTAAAACTAGGATCAACATTATTTTGTCATTTCCATACTTACCCTGATTTGCAAAACTGGTCCCTTGCAAAGCTCATGTAGGTTTTACAAGAGTATAACTCCATCTAAGCAGTGTATGAACTATCACATGGAAGGAGACGTAGCACTCTTCCAATAAAATATGTAAAACTAACACGCACATTTTACTTGCACAGGATAAAATCTGTGCACTACTCCAATATATTCTTCATTTGTACTTCTGAAAGGCATAATTTGAGCGGGCACTGTGATTTACCATAGTTCTTGCCAAATATTTTCATTTTAAAAATAAAAAGAACACTTAAGTCAGGCACATTAAAAAATACTCTGTACAACAGAATTTTATTCAAAGGCTTACAGATAACCTTAATTGTTAAAATTTTGAATCAACCAGCAGAGCTTCAAATCTTGCCCGTCTCATTAATACCACAGTAAGATTTGTAAGACAAAGTAAAAATAACTTCAGTATCTCCTAGCAAGTACATAAAACCTTGACAAGGTTTCTTTTATATAACTTGTTTGTTATGCCTTAAAGGTAGCAATAGTTTTGTCTCTGAAAACAACTATAGGTTTTTTGTAGTAGGAAGGTCATGAGCAGAATTTTGGCTCCTCAAAGATTAGATTAACCTTTTGTGGGTGTGATTCCTTAGTTAGGAAAAAAATGTGAAAACTGGTGGAGCTAGAAATATTAATCTTGCACCATTCAAAAACCCACTACGATTAGTATTTTAACTGATCCAGAATTTGGAAAAAAAAAGCACAACACTTGGGGTTTGGTTTTTTATTTTTTTTCTGTTAATCCACATTTTACATATGCTGGAACTTTTTTTTTTTCTCCCCAGAGATGCCTTAAGTTTCATTCACAGCAATAAATCAAAACTACTATTTGCACAGTGGAAACATTTAAACACTGTACCTGTTCCAGAAACACTGTCCAACAAAATTTTCTTTTTGAGAGATTCACAAATGCTCATTTGTATGGAAGTCACAAGGCCAGTAACATACATGGACTTCTTCAGCATTTCTCCAGAAGTCTGAATCGAGTTTTATTCTATATCTTCACTCATCTACCCCCTCCCATGAAAATTTTTTAAATGTTATACAAAACCAACAAAATACTTTCATTAAACCTTCACTTACTATTATTTGTTTAGAACAATGCCACAATTCTACAATTATATACACCACCCCTTAACTAAGTCCCACAAATGATCCTTCCTAAAATGACTATTAGCATGCACACAAAATTAGACTGCCCTTAAACGTGAGATCAGGACTAGCGACATTACAGCTTTCAGTGTGACAGCAATTTCTGTATTTCTGTTGCTCTCCAATGGAATATTAACAGTTGTCTGTGCTGAAACTGTACCAAAGATATGACACAATGCAACTTCTAAAAGTAATGTGAATTGTAAAGCTAAGAAAAACTTTCCCTAGATATAGTCTAAAAAGACAGTATTATTTCCCCTCTATTTCCCAGATGGCAAAAAAAGCTCACCCAAAAGGGTAAGTGACAGTTAAGCAGATTTTTCCTTCAGATATGAAAAGCTTAAAGATAAATAAGTGGTTTCAGAACTGCAGCCTATATTACTGCATTTGTAACACAGTGTTTGTAAGCCAGAAATGTCTGTTTTTCAAGAAGTCTGTATAAGGGTTTTTTGGGGTGGTGTATTTTTTATGACTATACTTTAACATACCAACATCAGTGGAATTAAAAAAAAAAAAGGTAGAATTTCCTTTGGAACATTGTCTCCTTAAAACAATCACAGATCTGTTTCTACAAATGGAGAAACTGAGTCAAAGGCAAACTGACTCACTAAAACTCATACAGGAAAACCCTGGAAGAACTCAAAATTCCCAAGAGGTTCTTAGTGCATAAATTTGCGATATGTAATGTAAGCAGTAAAATTTGTGTATAAGGATTTAAATCTTTGGGTCTATTTCACCACCTCCCCCCTCCCCACCTCACTAACATTTTTTGTAAACTGTACAAACTTATTTTAATCTTTATCTCGAGTTAGATGTCTGAGAACACAACTGAGGCCATGAAGTTGGACTGCAGAACTGTGTAGCCCTCTAAATCATGTTTAAAAAGAGTTATTCACAAGAATGGGAACTTTAAACCTAGGGAGAGGAAAGAAACAGGCAAAAGGTTTCCAAAAAGGCCCACACATACGCTGTTTAGAATGCTATTAAAGTACTTTTTAATAAACAGAGCAAAACAAGGTTTATTAAAAACATACAATCTATACAAACAAGGGAGGTATGATGGAAGCATACATTACTAAACTATTAATGCATCACTTGGTGGTTGAAATTGCTCAGCCTTTGGCCTCAAAACACACAAAAGGCATGCATTAGCAACACTCTAAAAGTCTTACTATCTTTATTGTTCAACTCCAGGTATAGCTTAAATCACACATCAGTGCTTCCAAATCATACCTAAATTCAAATTCTTTAGAGACTGAAGGCAGCTCTGCCATTTCAGTACCTCACTTTTGACTGTTTAAATCCAGAAGGTTCCAAAGCTATACTAGAATAGGAATTTGTACCTCATTAAACCACGGACAAGATTTTTAAAAGGTGCACACACACGCAAAAATTTTTTGTTGTTGCTCAGAACATCCAGCTTGCAGCCTCTATAGTTTGTATTGGAGTACACTACACCGACTACCAAATAATAAATCCTTGTGACCTCCCCTTCCCCCACTCAAACATATTTATAGTGGTGATACTAAAAGGTTCATATTTCATTTAGGAAAAAAAAATAGAGGTTAGGAACGGCACTTTCCCTCAGTATTTGTATGTATATTACCACATATGTGATTTACACAGCAACATACAAAATAAATGGAAGGGGAAATAAAAGTAACACCACAATTACATTGGGGCAGAAAAAATTCCGTGCCTTAATAAAGTAACAGGTTATCATCTCAAACGGATTATTCCCTTAAGTATAAAGTTCTTTTAGTATTCTTGAACTATCAATACATGGAATTACTACCTTGATGGCCAGTAAAGGTATTTCCTGGAAGGTGAATGACGTTCACAAATGTGATTCCACAAAGAATTTAGCTGACCGTTTTAGTGATCTTAACTCAGTAGTTATTTTGATAAATATTATGCTTTTATGTCGTTAACAGGATGGACTGATGTATGCTACCCATCACAAACACAGGAGCTTTTCCAAATTGTTAAACCGACATACATACTACCTCACAGCAACCTATACACACCCCTCAAAGAAGCTGCTTCAGTCTGTTGCCTCTTTCCACCCCCCTTTTCCCCGACAAGAGTGGTCTCGTTCACTTGCCTTTCACACACATAACCAATAAAATTAATCAGCTGGAACACAGCATTTTTAAATCGCAGTAAAGTCAAGAGACATTTTGTACATTATTTGAACGGAACAGTCTTTTCATTTATACATAATAAGACTCTAATATGCTGCAGACAAACGCACTGCATGGGGTGTGGAGGACCCGAGCTGATTAGATTACCACAACATCAGCCTGAGGCCGCCATTTTTAGAATCTCTAAAGGACAAAAGAGGGAAATTAAAAATATTGCTCCACATTTTTTGTAAAGTAACTTTAAAAGTATAGCGACAATAGCCAATTAATCATGCATTAGAAGTACAACCATGGTTATGTCTCTCTTTTCTCTGATCTGAGCCCTGAATAACAAAAACCTTTCATTATTATTCCTCTAAGGTACTGTAAATAAACAGGCTAAAACATTCCTATATCTAGATGCAGTACTAAACTTCTGCTTTTAACGACACGTAGTGTGTACCATTTTAGGGACCTCAAGGCTTTTAGCCACCGCACATTCCCCAATGGCTGAGCATGGGGGAATACAGGACCTTTATAATCAGGCTATATTATGTTTCTCTACCCTATTTAGTACTACACAGTGAACCGTTTGTTCCTCCTGCCCTAATGCCTGCAGCAATAGTGTCTACCCCACCAATATTTATCTCTTTAGGAAAGAGACTGAAATGAGCCACCCAAAGAACGCGAACGCTGGCTGCAGAAACTGAAGAGGAAGGGATGCACCAATATAACTACTTACACCCTCAAGAAAGGGGGTGGAGAGAGTGATCCCCTTTTAAATTGGCACAGAAACTCTTGAGGACTGCTTTCCGTTCGTCCAGGTTACACCACGAGAGGAGATATTAGCAGGGAGAGAGGAAAGAAGGCGGGGGTGTGGAAAGCAGAGAGATTAGGCCTATAATGAGCCATTTTAGTACCACAAAGCAAAAAAATACAGGATGGAGGAAAAGGTTTCCCATAAGCTTCAGCAGAACTCAATACGCAGTCCCAGTAACACACAAACCCAGTCTGAGAACCACTAGTTTAAGGAAGAGTACGTTGTCACATAATAGCCTTCTCTGGCTCCTTTTCCAATCATAATGCATAAATCTGGCGTAACTGCCAAAAAATTCTCCTCAGCTCCTCCAGTTACAGTAACCCGCCATATTCACAAGATATAGCGACAGCCTGCCATTTTTTAACCAAACCCCACAAAAGAAAAAACAAATTCAAGACAACTTAAGCAGAATTTAAACATATTTCAGGATGGGAAAGAGTTACACTCGCACCGAGATTAATGATACGTTCCCGTCGCATTTCACTCCCTTTTTGCCAACCCCCCTCCCGAAAGCACCCACAACAGAATATGCTGGTAATAACCGAAGACTCACCTGTAATGGTCACAGGCCAGGCAGCAGGACCCCTCAGCTGAGCCCCTTCTCTATCCCAACCAAAACAATGCAACAGCCCCACTGCGGATGTCCCTATCCTAGGTAGGACTGAACCCTCAGCAGGCTCTAGTAAAAGAAAGAAGAAGAAAAGAAAGGAAAGAGGAGACCCCCCCCTCCCCCCGAACCTAGCTCAATGCGTAGAACCCTACGGGGATCAGCTCAGAAGCGCCTTTGCCTTGGGACCTGTGTACAAACCCCGCTGCCGCCGCTGCTCCCGTGTCTCCCTCCTTTCAGCCTCCTACGCTCCCTTCTATGTCACTGCCTCTCTCTGGGAAAATGGCGTCCGCTCTCCCCTCCCTCCTCCTGCACGGGGCTCACCAGCCCCGCCTGGCAGGGGCAGGGTTACCAAGGCGAAGCCAAATCGCCGCCATTTTGCTTATGGGCTTGGAGCGCAGACTGTGCCCGCCGAGCCCTCAGTGTCCATTTTGCAACCGCGCTTTGCATGTTACGCTGGGCGTCCCGAACAGTCTGGGCGCGGCCGAGACACCAGACTGCGGCAGGGGCTGGGCAGGGGGGCTGTGAGGAGGGAAGCAGGGTAGGGGAGGAGGGGCGGCTGCAGCTGGGGCTGGTGCCGGGGGCGATCCGCAGCCCCGGAGGCGCAGACGGTGGGGGTGGGGCGCGGGCTCTGTCCCAGGCTGTTGTGGGACCGAACGAGGGCGGGAGAACGTCTGACTCAGAACTGCGCGCTCTGAAGCACAAACGCCAGAGCTCCCTCCTCGCCTGCTCCCCCTCCCCACCTCCAGCTTCTTCCTCACGACCGTCGTTGCTCTCAGCGTACCAATCCTTCATGAGTCTCAACCTGAGGAGTAACAAAGTACGCGAAAAGCCGGGCAGACTCGCCGGATCTCACACAGGCAGAGGAACTTGCTTGAGGGGCGAAGAGGGGGGGCGAGAAAGGGGATGGAGCGGGAGGTTTGACTGAGGTTTTGACTGAATTTCTTCTGTCATACACTTTAGGTTGAGAATTTTCCCCGAAGTGCTTAAGGCTTGCATGTAAGGCAAGTGAGAACTGCTTTTCTTAAGTGGGACAGCACTAGCTGAAGGCGTTTTCGTTTCTGCAGGGAACGAGAGGCGCAAACGAGCCCCGTTTCCCCTTCAGGGAACGGCACTCGGGGAGCAGGTATGGTCTGCTTTTATCCGGACCAGCGGGAGCTGGCGAAGCGAGAAGTTCGCCTCAGCGTTTCAGGACAGACGCAGCCTCCACCGTTTGTACCGAGCTTCTCTTTCCACCAGCTCCCGTTCTGCCCGCACGCCGCCCTGCCTAGCTTCAGCCCCTCTAGCGACATGGCTGATTGAGGGAGGGGAGGCGGTGGCTGGGGTTTCGTTCGACGCCCACCAGGGGCTGAGCGAGGCTCCTTCAGTGCGCAAACTCGGGGCACCAGATAAAAGCTGGGCTGGCAGCTGTTAGTGTGCCTCGATGGAGCCGCCACAATCGGGTGACTGGAGAAGCAATTAGCAGCGCCATAGACTAGCGTCCCCCCACACCTTGGGCAGAGAGAGTTTGGGGCTCTAAACAGCTGCTGCTGCGGCAGGAGGGAGCCGAGGTGAAGGGATCTGCTAGCTGGTTGGACGCAGAGGCGGCGGCTGTAACGGGGCATTGAGTCTGAGGGAGGAGGGGGGGCGATTAAACGTCTTGTGATCATGGCGGAGTCTATGGGTATTTTTTCCTGTCTAACTCTTCTGTGCGTGTGTCTCTTTGTTTCTTTCTCTCTCTCCTTAGGGCGCTTTGGCTGGGGCTGCTCGCTCGGGTTCTGCCTGTTGTTGCGCGAAATGGCGGCTGCCGTCTTGGTGGGTTTGGTTGTCGGCTTTTTTTGTGTAGGGTTTTTTTTTTTTAACCTCCTTCTCCTCCTCTTCCCCTCCCCCCACTCGTGCCTTGGCTGCGGCTCTGCAGCGAACCGCGGCGGGGGCGAGGCAGGAGCGGGGAGGGAGCTGCGTGGGAGCCAATAGCCAGGCCGGCCGGGCTAGCCCGGCGCGCCCCGATTGGCTGGCGCTGACATCATCCTGCAGCAGGGGCAGCCGCAGCTGGGCAGGGTCGGGGAGTTGGTAGGGGAGGTTGATGCAAAGGGAGAAAACGGGCGCCATGATCCCAGCGTGAGGGAGGACTGCGCGGGCGGGGGATCCCCGGCGAGCCGGTGCACGGGAAAGCGGGACTGAGCCTTGGCTTCTTCTCCCGAACATTGGCGGGGCTATGAGGAGTGGAGCGGGGGAAGAGCGAGTGAGGAGCAGCTGGCGCCTGCTTTTGTAACTGCGTCAGTACAAGATGGCGCAGGGCGTCCCTGGAGAGGGAAGGGAGTTGCACGTCCGCCGAAGGTCATGTGACCGCGTTGCATTCCTCTGGGGTTTGGCTGCGGACCAAGCTGGCTGAGGCGGCGGCCGCGGCCCGGGAGAGTCCGAGTTGCCCTCCCCGCCGCGGTGCTTCCCGTCTCCCTTCCCCCATTAATCGTATGCACGAGGGTGTAGCTGCCGCTGAGGAAGGTTCTCGCTTCTCTCTTTACTCTCCACCCATCTCCAGGGTGTAGCTACTCTCGGGTGAAGTTTTCTATTCCGCCCCCTCTGCGTAAGGCTTTACCCAGTGCAAGGGAGAGTTCCCCCTCGGTACCACCTCGCTCCGCCTGAGTGCGCGGCTGGGCCGATCGGGTGCGGTAGCCCTAATGCCGTCGCTCAATTTGTGAACCAGAGCGCTTTATCTGTAAGTTAGGTTCCCCGGAATCGTAGCGTTCTTCTTACTGAGTAACTTGCCGAAAGAGACGTTTGAATACATGTTTAAATGACCTCATTAAAACAGTTGAGGAAAACGTACAGGCAGTGCGGAGTTCTTGTGATCAAGGTCGTCGTGTTTCCGTTGTTACTTTGCCGGGGGTACAGGGTGGGGGCCTGAGGGAGAATCTGCAAGCTCTTCATGACTACATTCTATTTGAACAGGGCTTCGCTATGGAGGAATAGATCGATATTCTTGTATTTGTGTGATGTTAAAGAGTCTGTTCTAGGAGTTGAGAAGCTTTTCTGTGGGGTAACGTGGTATGTGTGTTGCAAGGTTAGGCCGCCGATCGCCTGCGTTTGTAACACAGGAGTTTTAAGTATGTACTTAGGGTACAAATGGAAACTACGGTGTGTGAATATTATGAAGGTGTACCATGGCTTACTTCATGAAGTTTGTAGGAAAATGAACTTGTCACACAGGTCTGGGCAGGCTTGGAAACTGGACAAATAAATGTTCTGGCTCTTTATTTGAGTACTCTGGCAGGGGGTGGGAAATGAAAAATGTATGTTTTCCAGTCCTAAAGCTTTTTTTCTTTAAGGACTGTAACTTGTGATGTTCCTGTTTGGGTGGGGTTCTTTTGTTTTAACAGCAATTTGGTTCTGCTTCCCATATTTTGTTCTTGTATGACAGGGTATAAATTTAGACTGAATCTAACCCATTGAGCAAGTTAACAGTTAAAATTGCTGATGCTTCAGGAGTTATAGTTTATTCTATTTAGAAATGTTTCATAACACTTTCTGTTCTTAGTCCACAGATTAGATGTGTTTTGGGTTGGGATTTGGTTGGGTGGGGTTTTTTTTTCCTTTTTTTTTCCTTTTTTTCTCCTTTTTTTCTTTTCAACATTAGTAACCTGGTGGGGGACAAAGCTTGGCTATCTGGTGAACGTGTTGTGTGAGAACTGCTGGAATGAAAGTAACAGTATGACTAATATAGAAGATTCCTGTATAATAGATGCTCCCTAGTATGTGTTACATAAGTAATGTGGTGAGGCGGAGCCTGGTTACATAAGAACTGGCTGGGGACTTAGAGCTGTTGCAAGTAGTCCATATTGGCTGCAGATAGAGCCTGCGGGGTAGTTGTGTATTGGAGGGGAGGGAACAACAGAATTGGAAATGTCTAATAGTGCTACATTTCTCCTTTGTAGGTTATATAAAGGATAGCGGGAAAGAAATGGAAGAGACAGTAATAAAGAATGACACAGTGTGATCCTCTCAAGTTTGGCATCTTATTTCTGCTGAGCTTTTAGGATCTAAGCTCTGCTTGCTAGAACAACCACACCACACCCCCTCCCACCCCCGTTCTTGTTGGGTTGTTTTTTGGGTTTTTTTTTTTTTTTTTTTTTTTTGTCAGGTGGTGGCTGTCAGCTGAGCATTGCACCAACCAATATTATTCAGTGCAGGCTATTACAGAGAGCAGGGTTCTTGAGTCCTACAGCTTGTGAAGGTTTCTGGTTTGTTTTTGTTTGGTTTTTGGTGTTTTCTTTTTCTTAGGCTTACTGGAAATGATATGAGGAGGCAGTTGGTTTGTTGACTAAACATTGAAGTGACTGGATTAGTGATTCTTCTTGTGTAGGCATAGTGTGACACAAGGTAAATACTCCCTTTGTGATGGAAGCTTCCAGAGAGGGTTTAGGTGTACAATGATTCTTTTGATACAGAAGGCATTTGTTTGGGACCTGGCATTGTGAACGATTCCTTGCATATGTGTTAAAAGAACATTAATTTGAACTGAACATATGGAAAAAATACATTTCTATTTTATTAGTGCTTGCATTTAGTATGCATTCCATAATTACGAAATAGGAAGTACTTGCCTACCTCACTGTAAGGGAGCAGTTTCAATGCTTATGTTATGGAGTAGTTTATATAGAATATCTGGAAATCAAAAGTTTAATTATTGTAGCTAGAGCTTTAATTCATAAAGCATTGTTTTAGGTAGCTCACATTACTTCTTGATTTTCAAGCAGAATCTGCTATTAAACTACTTTAAAAGTTCTCCACAACTGGTGGCTTAAGCAGCAGTACTTGAAGTGTCTGTGATTTTATGAAGCTATGGAAATGAAGGCAAGTTTTAATGAGCTCATTGCATTTTCTTGTTTCAAGGTTGTTTTATTAGCTATTCTCAGGGAAGCAGTATTAGTTATCTTCAAAGAAGCAGTAGCTCCAACAGTGTTGCAGTGCGGTCTCAAAACAATGTCTGATGCATTCTGAATTACTTCAACTGCAGGAGAAAAGTAAAAAAGAAATGTGTTTACTACTTTGAGATGGGCAAGGGGATTTTCCCAAAAGGCAGTCTGATGCAGACTGTGTCTTAAGCTGGAAGGTGAGGGGAAGAAAAGGAGCCATAGGAGAAAGAAACGGAGTAGAAACAGACATGCAGCTTGCATTTATGGCAGTCTGTAGGAAGAGAGAGAAAACAATTTCTATTGAACGACTGTTATTTCCTTTTTAATAAGGATATTTCAACTGGCTGGATATTCTCCAGCACTTGTGGTTCTAACTTGCCTTGATTGTCTGTGCTTGTATATGGTCTGTGCGTTTGCTGAGACCTGTTGTTTAAACACTGTTGTTTACTTTTTGCCTTACAAAGGGACTGACAGGAGTTCAAGGGTATTTAGGGGAGAAGGGAGGGAGATACTAGCAGTGTAATAGATCTGAGTATGCATTAATGGCATAGTTGAAACGGTTGAAGTGGTGCTCATACTGAAAGATGATCCTGCACCTTTTCCTAGCTGTTCATTCTTGCTTCTGCACCACCCTTTTGATGGTGATCACGTGGGAAGTAGAAGAACAGATACAGTATAAGCCTAATTGTAGTGGATGGGTTTCTAATGTGAATATTCATTGTGTGGCTTCACAAACACTCCCACTTGTGTAGAAATAGGGAGAAGCAGCTGTGGGGAGAGTGGAGGTGTGCATGTTTTAACTGTTAGTGAAATTAGGTGTGGGTTTTTTTATCAGCGGAGATGCAGTTCTGAAGGAATTTTGAGAGGCCACTCTTAAAGGCACATGGCTGGTGCCACCAGCACCACTGCTTAAGGAGTCAAACATACTTAAAAAAACAAAAGTTAGCTTTGAAAGTAAGGTATTGCTAGGTTGACCCACAGTTGTAGGTGGTGGTATCGTTTTTGACTGACTGAAATGATAGCCTACGAAAGTGGAATGCTATTTCAGCTGTAGCTTAGTTAAGTGGTCACAGGATTGTGGACTTCTGGAGCTTATTTTGTTGGAACAGGATAAAATCTGGAATAGTCTTGCTTCTTCCAAAAGCGGCTGATCATCTAATAGATTGGGTATACAGTGAAGAGTTGCTCTTGCTGGATAAGGTCTGAGTTAAAAGCAAAATGGAGCCCCAAGTGATACCTGTGTGTTGCAGTGGTCTCCAGTCAAATGAGCATGCATTATTTGCATGTAGCAGAGCAGGTTCAGTGACTGCAGGCTGCTCAGTTTGTATGGATGTGACAAGACTCTGTTCAAGGCCTGAACATCAGCAAGGCAGGGCAGGAATTTCCTCAGGTTTTGTGTTACAATGGCTTTTCTGAAAAAGCTGAAGCTAGTAAGGGTTTTTCTCTGTAAGGAAAACAACTTATTGGCTGGTTCTAAAATTCTTAACAGTTGAGTTCCTCAGTTAAAGGAGCAAGTTTAAAGCTGTTGTGTAGTGTGCTAATCCCACGATTAGTGGGAATTTGCACCTAGTCCTGCTCACTGGTATGACCTTTGGGTATTGAAGTGGGGCAGTGGTCTGTTCTCCTAGCATGATCTTGTTATGTGGAGTGTTTTTGACAAACTTCTGGTTGCTTTGGAGAGCAGTATTAAGCTCTTTGTAGTTACTTTTATAAGTGAGGTAGGGGTCTGGCTTGATCATAATGTATTGCTAGCCCCAAAGCCCTGTCAATAACAGTTCTTTGATGAAGATGATGTAAATAGCCAGCAGTTGCATGGTTCCTCAGTCACTGTTAAGATGCAGGCAGTGTAAGCTCAATAGTGGTTTTTGAGGATCTGTGGGAGGAAAATGGGGGGAAAATCCT